TCTCTCTCTCTCTCTCTCTCTCTCTCTCTCTCTCTCTCTCTCTCTCTCGTTTAATCCTTACTGCTTTATTGTACCAGTTTATCAACTATCTTTGTAGGACTATTTATATGCTGTTGAACTCATATTTTGAATTTGTTTCTATCTCTGTTTTTTAATTTCAAAACTATATTTCATTTTAGAGATTGTATTTGATTATTTCTCAGATCCGCCTATATATAGTAACCAGTTCTTTGTAATGGATTCTATCCCTTCCTTTGTCTTTCTGGACATGCTAATGATTTAAAGTCTCTTTCAGATTGCTTTATTATCTGTAATTCCTCAGGTATCGATTCTCACATTTGTTGCATCTGACCACTTTCATGGTGGTCTGCTCTCTTTTATATGTTCTTTATAATTTTTGCATGAATTCCCCCCATCCTCACCCCCATTGGTATAAGAAACATTCCATAGATTATGGAAGTCTTCCTATGGTATATTTTTGTTTTCATCCTTCATTAAGAGCTGTGATTTTCACTGGTTCTAGGTCAGTTCTTCATGTTCATTTTTAGCTTAAGTTTTCCCACACCACCCACGTGCTATAAAATAAGATTCCACAAATAGCACCGGCAGGGCATTCCTTTTTTTTTTTTTTTTTTTGGGCCAGTGATTATTTCTATCTAGAGTAGGGGTTGGCAAACTTGAGACAGGCCGCCAGGGGTCAGCAAACTGCGGATTGCGAGCCACATGCGGCTCTGAAGTAAAATTGAAAATGAAAATAAAACCAATGGAATTGTAATAGATAAGCATGATATCGGGGGTGGGAGGGCAATAGTTGGGGAGAGGGAGGTTGTTACTTTGTGAGGGTGAAAAGGGTAACTATTGCATTGTTCTGTACACCTGAAACTAACAATAAAAAAAAACAAAAAACAAAGCATTGATCAAATTAAACAGACCTGCACTTCAAAGCTTGAAAAAAAAACCAAAAAAACCCCCGCAGATTCCTGGCCCCAACCTCGGAGTGATGCAAGAGGTTGAGATGGGGACTGAGAATTTGTATTTCTAAGGAGGTCCTAAGCGATTCTGATGCATCTGATCTGGAGAGCACATTTTGATAATCACTGCATTAGGGAATCAAGATTTTTTTGCCTGCTAGTTATTTTTTAAGGTATTTTCTGCAGAGATGAGCTGTAAAAATATATATTTAAGATCAGGTGTACCTCATAAAATAGTTGTCATTTATGTGGACAGTTTTGAGAACTCAAGATGATTTTCTGATTTAAAAAATATCTTTTAGTCACTTGCTGATCCCTAAGGTCCTAATTTTAGAGATTCTCTCTTTTGGCTTAATTGTTTTTTCTGTATTAAAATTCAAATGGACCTCTAAAAAAAAGAAAAGAAAATGAAAATAAAACTATCATAGCTTCATTTATAAAATTTATAAAGGATATTATTCACATAACAGTGATTATGTAAAAATATATTTATGGCTCTCGAATAATTTTTAAATTGTTGTGAGGGACAGGGTTGGCTCTTCCAGGGGTCGGCAAACTTTTGAGACGGAACGTACCCAGAGAGCTGCATGTGGCTTCCGAGCCACAGTTTGCTGACCTCTGATCTAGAGTCAGAAGGCAGCCTGCTTCTATCCTGTGTCTCTATTGGGTTTCCTAGCTTTAATTTGCAAATTGGATATCC